GCAGGTATAAAGAAAAGAGAAGGGGACCGAGGATGGACCCCTGCGGTACCCCCCACTGGAGCGCTGTCGATGCCGAACTAAAATCTTTGATATTGACACAGAAGGTTCTGTCAGAGAGGTAGGACCCAAACCATTTAAGGGCTGACCCTGTGATGCCCACCCACTGCTCCAGTCTAGAAACGAGGATCTTGTGGTCGATGGTGTCAAAAGCAGATGTCAGGTCCAATAGGACAAGCAGCACAGAATCACCTGCATCTGTGGATATGAAAATGTCATTAAAAACCTTCAGTAGAGCAGTTTCAGTGCTATGGAGAGATTTGAAGTCAGATTGGAATAACTCTAGGATAGCGTGATCCCCCAAAAACTGTTTCAACTGAGACTCCACAATTTTTTCCAGTAGTTTAGAGGTGAATGGGAGTCTGGAGACAGGCCGGAAGTTGGAAGACTGAGGGGTCAAGGTTAGGTTTTTTCAGGAGGGGCTGGACAGCAGCATGTTTAAAAGTTTTTGGCACCACACCTGAGGATAAACTGCTATTCAGAATAGCGAGAATAAAAGGACCCAGGGTAGGAAAAACTTCCTTTAGTAGTCGAGGGGGGACCACATCAAAGGGGGAACCAGATGGCTTCATGCTGCACATTACCTGCTCTAGAGAAGACAGAGAGATGGGCTCAAAGTGGTCAAACACAGCCACACACTGAGATGGGATGGACAGATCATGAGCTGGTGGAGAAATGAGTGCCCGGGTGTTTGCCACTTTTTCTAAAAAGAAATGGAGGAAGTTTTCACACAGCTCAGTTGAGGCTTCCAGAGGTGAAGGCTCACGGAGGTGTAGAACTGAGTTCAGGGTGGAGAAAAGAACTCGGGGGTTGTGGGAGTTGGAGACAATTAAATCAGAGAAGAATTTACATTTGGCAGCTTTAACGGTTTTCTGATAGTGACGCCAACTCTCCCTTAACATTTGAAAAGAAACCTGCAGCCTGTCCTTCCTCCACCTTCGTTCAGCTCTGCGACACTGCCGCCTAACGGCTCGAGTGACGTCATTCAGCCAAGGCTCTGATCTAAGTTTCGTTTTTCTGGTTTTAAGGGGAGCAACACGGTCCAGAACATCTAAACAGGCAGAGTTGAACTGAGAGGTTAGCTCCTCAGTGGTAAGAGACACCGAGAGCCGTTCGATGCGCTCAGAGTTAAAACCTTCATTAAAACGAGCAGCAGTGAAACGGTTAATGGAACACGTACGTGCAGGAACGCACGTCTTAGCAGTAGGACAGGGGGGGGGGGGTTGAGGTCAAACATTACAGGCATGTGATCTGAAAAAACATTGTCACCGATTTTCAAATTAGAAACAGAGACATCGCGTGTTAAAACGAGGTCCAGCGTGTGACCGTGTTCTTGGGTGGGACCGTTTACCTTCTGAGTTAAATTAAAAGAGTCCAATAAATCTAGAAAGTCCTTCACTAAGGGCTTCTCCTGACAACACACATGCAAATTAAAGTCACCAATAAACAAAAAGTGAGTGTATCTCTGTGTGATATCAGCCAAAAAGTCAGAGAATTCATTTATGAAGTCCTTGGATCGAGGGGGACGGTAGACGAGCGCGCACAGAACCGTAGGAGAGTGTCCGAGTTCAAAGACGCTTAGCTCAAAGCTGGCGTGGGACACCGGGATGGACAACTGTTTACAGGCCAAGTTTGCTTTAAAAACTGTTAGTAATCCCCCACCCGCGCCGACCTGATGGCCGCGGGGCATTGAAACACAGACAGTTCGGGGGTAGTAGTTCCACTAAGGCACTGGACTCACCATCAGAAATCCAAGATTCCGTGACGAACAGAAAATCCAACTCCTGATCTTTAAAAAAGTCATTGAGGATAAACGTCTTGTTGGAAACAGACCTTGCGTTGATTAAACACATCCTGATAGAGTCCAACGCAGGCACAGCCGTGGAGGGAGAAGCGCGCGCCAGCGGGCGCAGGTTATGAAGAACAGCTCCTCCAGGTCTGCTGGTGCGGCACACAGGTAAACAACTCCAGGTGTTTACATGGACTGAGCGTGCGGGCAGCTGGCCAGCAGCCGGGCCCCGGGAGCACCATGGGTCAGAGAGGAGAAGATCCAGAGCGAGTCCTGATAGAATAATCCACACTTTGCCTCAGTTTCACCAAAATCCCTGCACGCTTCCCATGACGTCTGTGACGTTTCCTCCATGGAGAAAGGCCAGGGTCACGCAGAAGAAATGCAGGAATCTCAGACAGGACCGGTGGAGGAGAGTGCTGACCACTGTACAAAAACTCTGCAGGCATTTCAGCAAATGTACGGAGCTCCAAAAGTGCCCGACGATCATACTGAAAATATGACTCGGCACACTGCACCAACCATTGTAAAAATAACAAAAATACAATACAAGCAGAGAGCGAGAGACGGGCAGCCCTACACACTGGCGCCATCTTGGAAACATGAAACAGATCAGCAGCAACATGATTATCCTGGTTATATATCCATAAGGCTGCACAAACTCAAGTTCATGTTGCTGTTTGACGTATTGTTTTGATTGTTTACTGCTATTAGTGCTTAGTGTATTATTATTAGATGTTTTTTAGTTGATATTTTTCTTAATTCATATCTTAGATATGTGGGGAGTGGTGGCGCAGAGGTTAGAGAGGTGGGCTTGTGATCCGAAGATCGCCGGTTCACGCCCCGGCCCCGACAACATCAAAAATTGTGGGTGGGGTAGGTGAAACACCCACACTTGCCCCCACCCTCATTCACCCCACTCTGGGCCCATGAGCAAGGCCCTTAACCCCACCATGTGCTCCCTAAAACAGGTCTCTCTTGCAAATGAGTTCTCGTGGCTCAATGAGACTAACCTGGATAAATAAAGGCTAAATGAAAAAAAAAAAAAATAGATCTTATTACTGTTTTTCTTTTACATTTTGTTGTCTGTAACTGGGACCCTGTGTACATAATTTCATCCCAATTCAGTATTTATTCAACTTTTTTTTTTTTACTTTAAAAATAAAATAAAAACAAGTCCTTATCGGCACAAATAAAGTGATGTGGAACATGTTGCATCTGTTCTTACCGAGCACAGAAGCTGCAGCGTTGTGCTGCTCTGTGAGGTGCAGCTGGGCTGTGATGGAGCTCTGTCAGGTGTAGACTCCTCTGATGGAGCAGGAGCAGAAGCCGGGAGGCTTGGAGGGTTTAATGTGGAGTTTAGAGACAAACCGTCACACGTTGAAATACGTTCTGGATAAAATACAGTGAGAAACGGGACCGGAGGACAGTTGGCGTTTATGCAAATTAGCTTAGCATGGTAGCACCGATGTTGTCCTATTATGGCGTCAGCCTCTTTTGTTAGTTAAAAATATGTTCAGAACCGATGGGTTGAATAACTTAAAATATGTTTAAAGTTAGAAAACACTCACCATCTTCTATAAATGATTCAAGTAGAGCAGTGGCCGTGTCCAAACCACCCTCCAATCGCTCCATCTAGCTCGCTTCGACTTTTTTCGTCGGCCACCAAGCACAACAACACCTGCACTTCTGCATTTGACCACGGCTTTGATATTATTGTTTTTGTATAGCTTCAAAATACTAAAAGATACGCTCCTCGAGTTATCGCTAATAGCAAGCGGGAGAGAAAAAATGGTGGATCGGGTAGTTTGGAAAGACTCCACAGACTCCTCCTCCCGACCAATCAGTGACCGACAGTGTTTCTGACGTCACGGCTCGGCTCGCTTGGACTCCTTGAGAAACCGAGCCAGAATTTAGGGAGGCGAGCCAGTCCCAGGAACCATGGAAAAGACCTCAAACACGGGCCAAGCCAGAAATATCCGACCCGCACCGTGATAGTGGAAAATCAATCAACCTTTATTTAGTAAATCCCATTGAGCCTCGAGGACTCATTTACAAAAGGGAAAAGGGGCATTAAACAGGGTTTCTTTTTCAGAAACAGATCCTGTCTAACTGAATGCTAGGAAACGCCTTGTATCGGTGACTTTCCTTCCCGCCATTGATTACGGTGACATTATTTACATGAACGCTCCTACAAGAACCCTGCAGATGTTGGATGCTGTCTATCGTGGTGCAATAAGATTCATAACTGGCTATGCTTATCGTACCCATCACTGCACCCAGTATTCACTGGTTAACTGGTCACCGTTAACTTCACGCAGACTCTCTCACTGGTACATTTTCATCTTTAAATCACTTCTTGGTCTGCTGCCTTCATACATCTCCTCCTACATGTCTCTGTGTGAGTGCAGCTACAGCATGCGCTCTCAGGACATTATTACCTGCAGTGTCCCTCAGTGAGGACTGAACTTGGCAAAAGGTCCTTCTCCTACTCTGCTCCTGTTGCCTGGAATATCTTGCAAAAAGATCTGAAGCTCTCGACCTTGACCTCTCTAAGTGACTTTAAACATCTGTTAAGTTTCTGCAAGAACCAGTGCAGACATGTTCCTGTTTTTAGTTTTCTACACCGCCTTATAATCTAGCTGTTTTTTTCACTACTTTTTTTCCTTTTGACTCTCCTTTTAGTTGCCATTTTATTTTAATTTGTAAAAAAAAATCTGTATGCCTTATTTATGATTGTCTATTGTTGTTGTTGTTGTTGTTATCCACTGTTGTCATCACTCTTTTTTAAAGAAATCAGGTCTCTCGTAAATGAGTCCCCAAGGCTCAATGGGATTAACCTGTCTAAATAAAGGTTGAATGCATGAATAGTGTCCTTTGGCTTAATGGCACGTGTATGAACCTGCTATGTTTTACGTGTAAACAACCTCAAAGTAAAATGCCTGAAGGTCTGTCGATTCATTTCAACATTCTTTCAGTAGTTAAGGAATTCCTTTTAAACACCTCGAGATGACAGCAACAATGTGATCTGCACTGACTTCTGTTACTGTTATGAATAAAAAGTAGCAGTGCTACAAATAATCCTACTTAATTTTTTTAATCAAAGCCAAAACATGAAACGAGATATAAAACTACTTTTCTGTTAGACGTTTACCTTCCCCTTCAGTGGTGCATCGGCTGACATCCAAGGTCCTTGAGTTGATCACACCCACCAGTGGATAGCCCTCTATCTCTCCTGCAGGCTCTATGGGTAGGAAGCATATACTGCTGCTGTCGTCAGGGGCCAACGCTGCCAGGTGGGGTTTATAACTGCTCTCCGCCAGACTAGTGAGTCTCCTAAGAGTGACTCCTTTAGTGTTGAGGATCTCAGTATCAGAACCACAGCTCAGGAGTCGCTCTGCAAACTCCACGCCGCCTCGGACGTCCAGCAGGGCCTGCTGCAGCTGTGCCTCCTGCAGGTGGAGGTGGTTCCTGCTAGACAAAAAAGATGGGTAATCCAAATAATTAAAGGTGAGAATCTTCCTGCTACACTGCCCAAACAACAGTGTGTAGCTTCTATAAGCACTTACTGAAATTTCATAACATACCTGCAAACTCAGAAGGAATGAAAAAGGTGATAAACCTAGTGGACCCCCCCAGAAGATTTTGTGATTTTTTTAAACGTGTAAATTAATTAGGGGGGGTCCTAAAAGAGGAGTTGGCAAAAGAATGTAGTAGAGGTGAAGAGAGTGTCAGATAGGGTGATGTGCCTGGAGGTAGAAGTAGAAGGTCTGATGCTAAACATCGTCAGTGGTTATGCTCCACTAGTTGGATGTGATGAGGAGGAGAAAGATACATTTTGGAAAGATCTGGATGAAGTGATAGAGTATTCCGAGGGAAGAGAGAGTGGTGATCGGAGCAGACCTGAATGGACATGTTGGTGAAGGAAACAGAGGAAAGGAAACAGAGGGGATGAGGAAGTGATGGTGTCAAGGAAAGAAACCAGAAAGGACAGATGGGGGTGGATTTTGCCAAGAGAATGGAAATGGCTATAGTCAATACCTATTTCCAAAAGAGGGAGGAACACAGAGTGACCTATAAGAGTGGAGGAAGGAGTACGCAGGTCGACTACATTCTGTGTAGAAGAGGAAACCTGAGGGAGATTGGAGACTGTAAGGTTGTGGCAGGGGAGAGCGTGGCCAGACAGCATCGGATGGTTGTGTGTAGAATGACTGTTGTTGTGAAGAAGAGAAAAAGAGTAAAATCAGAGAAGAAGACCAAATGGTGGAAGCTGAAGAAGGAAGAATGTTGTGAGAAATTCAGAGAGGAGCTGTTAAAGGCTCTGAGTAGTAAGAAAGAGCTTCCAAATGACTGGGCTACTAAAGCAACAGTAATTTAGAGCAACAGGTAGGAAGGTACTTGATGTGTCATCTGGACAGAGAATGGATGATAAGGAAACCTGGTGGTGGAATAGTGAAGTGCAGGACGCCGTCCAAAGAAAGAGATTAGCCAAGAAGAAATATGACAGTGAGAGGACTGAAGAGAGGAGACAGGAATATAAGGAGATAGGACGTAGAGCAAAGAGGGAAGTAGCTAAGGCAAAGCAGAAGATGTATGATGAGTTGTATGGGAGACTGGACACCGAGGTTGTTTTCACACCTGATAGTCCGGTAGACTCGACTCGGTTGGGGACCAATATTCATAGCATTTTGTTTACATTTGAGCTGGTGCGTTTGCATTCACACTGCACTGTGCAGTCGAGCCAACCTGTTCAAACCAACCTGTTCCCCCACTCGCCTGTGGGGGCGCTGCACCAAGAACTACTGAAAGAAATGACACAAAAACATAGAATCTTATTTGAAACTGCTGACTAAGGCTAAGGCTAAATACGGTAAGATTGTTATTCATGTCGGCAGTAATGACACCCGGTTACGCCAATCGGAGGTCACTAAAATTAACGTTGCTTCAGTGTGTGACTTTGCTAAAACCATGTCGGACTCCGTAGTTTTCTCTGGCCCCCTCCCCAACCTGACCAGCGATGACATGTTCAGCTGTATGTCGTCGTTTAACCGCTGGGTGTCCAGGTGGTGTTCTGACAACGACGTGGGCTACATAGATAACTGGAGTTCTTTCTGGGGAAAACCTGGTCTGATGCGGAGAGATAGCATCCATCCCACTTTGGATGGAGCCACTCTTCTTTCTAGAAATATGGCTGATTTTGTTTATCCCCCAAATTATTGACAACCCAGGGTCCAGTCCAGGAAGCAGAGTTGTAGTCCTCCACACCTCTCTGCTGCTTCTCCTCTGTACACCACCCACACCCCCATTGAAACAGTGTCAACTCGCCCACGGCTCAAATTAAATAAACCGAAAATCAGCTCTAAAAATATAAACCATAAAAATCTGATTAAAATAAACACAGTTACTTTACCAGAGCAAAATCATAAAATCATTAAATGTGGATTATTGAACATCAGATCTCTTTCCTCTAAATCCCTGTTAGTTAATGAACTGATAACTGATCATCATATTGATTTATTGTGTCTGACAGAAACTTGGCTACAACAGGAGGATTTTGTTGGTATAAATGAATCCACTCCTGTTAATTATTTAAATTTTCATGTTCCTAGAACTGGCCGAGGTGGAGGAGTAGCTTCTATTTTTCAGTCAGGATTATTGATTAATGCCAAACCAGTTATTAGTTATGATTCTTTTGAATCACTGTCCCTCAGTCTTTCTCATCCAAAATGGAAATCAGAAAAGCCACTTTTACTAGTTGTTATATATTGTCCACCAGGCGCTTACTCTCAGTTTTTGTCTGAATTCTCAGAATTATTAACTGACTTGTTATTAAATACTGATAAAATCATCATAATGGGTGATTTCAATATTCATGTAGATGTTGAAAGTGATAGCTAAAGCATAGCCTTTAATAATTCAATAGACTCATCGGGTTTTACCCAAAACGTCCGCAAATCTACTCATTCTTATAATCACACTCTTGATTTAGTTCTGACCTATGGTGTAGAGATTAAGGACTTGGTAATAATTCCTCAAAATCCTATTCTGTCTGACCATTTTTTAATAACTTTGAGTTTACATTAAATGACTACACAGTCACTGAGAGTAAATTTCATCTCAGCAGGTGCTTATCAGAAAATGCTGTAACCAAATTTAAACAATCTCTTCCATCAATGTTTCCTCTGTCTTGCAGAGTAATGCATCAGAGAACAGAGACAGATCATCTAGTTGATCATCTTACAACTTCAATGCAAACTTCACTTTTCAGATAATGTTATCAAAAATATGGACCATTGCAGATGTTTCTAAAACATTACTTATCAAATATACATGTCTTTGTTCACTTTTAACTCTGTCTACTTAACCTGATGTCTGTTCTACATTTAATGTCTACAGAAGTCTGTCTTATCCGGATGGTTTCAAACTGTTAACATTTATTTATCGTGATAGTAGTTTCTTTTTTCTTTTGATAAATTTAAATGCTTATTGTCAATTACCCTGTGACGTGTGCTGATGACCACTTGACCAGGTCACCCTTGTGAAAGAGATCTCGATCTCAACGGGCTCTACCTGGTAAAATAAAGGTGATTGATTGATTGATTGATTGATTGACTTGATAAAATTGCTCCAGTGAAATAGAAAGTAATCAATCAGAGGAAACTGGCTCCTTGGTTCAATTCTGAGTTACGTACTTTAAAGCAGCATCTAGAAACCAGGAGAGAAAATGGCACTCTACTAATGTTGAAGAATTTTATTTAACTTGGAAAGATAGTCTGCTAACATATAAAAAAGCTCTCCGTAAAGCTAGAACTTTATATTACTCATCTTTAATAGAGGAGAATAAAAATAACCCTAGGTTTCTGTTTAGTACTACTGCTAGACTAATTAAAAGTCCCATTTCTGTTGAACCATGTATCCCTACAACTATAAGTAGTGATGACTTCATGAGATTCTTTATAAATAAAATTATTTCAATTAGAGAGAAAATTCAAACCATCCTTCCTTCTACAATCTCTAGTCCCCTGTCAAATGAGGCAACTTTAAAAATTTCACTAGAGCCTGATTTATGTTTGGACAGTTTTTGTCCTGTTGAGCTCTCTGAATTGTCAAAAATAATAACCTCATCCAAACCATCCACATGTCTGCTAGATCCCATCCCAACCAGACTGTTTAAAGAGGTATTCCCCCTAATTAATGTCCACATTTTGGATCTACTTAATTTGTCTTTAATGGATGGTTATGTACCACAGCGCTTTAAGGTTGCTGTAATTCAGTCCTTCTCAAATAGTGGGGCGCGCCCCCCTGGGGGGGCCCGGGGCAATGCTATGGGGGGCGCATGTGACCCTAGAAAACATGCTTTTTTTGCCGCAGGGAGGAGTTTCCCCCCCCCCCACTATTATCATTTTGTTGCGTGCGTTCCTAATAATAAAGTTATGAACAAATATGGCTGCCTTGTTGTTTTGGGAGCCATGCACGAACCGTGTCTCTCCTCTGCTGCTGACATGATGAATAAACTCCGACAGTCACCTCCTCCGTCCTCTGCTGCTGTTTTTATGTCCATGCGCTCTGGACGTCACTCACAGCGCACATGCAACAAAGAGTAAACTCCAGCGAGAGCGACACCTGCCCACTCTTTCCTCTTTCGCATTGACAAAATGTTTTAGTTGTAGTGAACTAGATGACCTCAAATCTACCAGATGGACAGAGACTGTTATTTTCATTGATCTGAATAAGTCTGGGCCATCTGATGACTTTCTTTCTTGAATTAATCAAGCAGAAAAGACAATCCTCTATAATCATTACTGTCTTACAAATGTTTTGATAATCAAATTGTGTTAGTTCACTCAATGCTTATAGGTTGAAAAGAACTACTCATCTTTATTTTACATAAACAGTAAGTAATGATTTTTATTCCTCATTCAAAGAAGAAATCACCTGAATATGCATTTCTTGATTTTCTGTCTGAAATGAGCCAAGGCGTAAGTGTGTGAAAGTTGAAGCTTCGGTCAACTAAATGTTTACTGAAGAAGAAATGTCATGTTTTACTATTTGAAAAGATTACCAAGTGTGAGACTCCACGAAGTCTGGCCGACTGCAATAATCTTTTCTGTATGTTGAAAACAATCCTTGACTTTTGATAATAACTTACGTCAAAAAACCACACCTCTTTCTGGTACATCCACGAATCAGAAAGCTCTAAATTGAACCGGAAGTCGACCCAAATAAAATGTGGCAACTTCCCAGTTCATGTTAGAATGAACGGAGAATGGAAAAGATTCAGAGAATGAAAAAGTTCTCAAGGAGTTCAGAAGAGAACTAGAGTTATGGAGAGTTTTGGAGTCTGAGAAGATCTGAAAGAGTCTGAGAGCTGCTGACAATGAAGAGTCAGAGTTGCCGAGAATCCAGAGACGTTGTGGAATTATAATTTCTGTTTGAACGACCCACGCATGACTCTCCAAGGATTTTAGCAGTTC